CCCCCCGCCCTACTTCCCTTCTGATTACGAAGGTACTCTATATTATTACATTTCTATTCCCTCTTGGTAGGAATTTTGAATTTTGCCCGGGTGGCGGCCGAAGCCTACTCTATGACACTGATGGCATTCCCCTTGTCACAGTTGTGGGCCGTGCCAACTTTTAGATGCTGGAAAAGATATGTGTGGTTAATTGGTTAGTGCTCAAGTCTGTCAACATTAGTTAGTCACTTCTTAAACGTTAACATTCTTAACATTTCTATTTTTCTTAACTGGATGTATTTCTCAACGTTTCCTGTAGACCTCCTGCAAAACTACAAAACGATCTTTGTTGAGACCCAAATACCCCGCTGTACAAGAAGAATGGACGCCAACTGGGTATCACTGAAGCTGATTCTGGCAACAGCGCTGTTCCTGTCCTCAAGTGCTAGTGTCCTGAATGTTACCACACCTGAAGTCGAAGTAGGAAAAACTGCCAACGTGTCACTGGAATGTTTCGATCCGTATCACGCACGCGACATTTCTGACATTATCATTATCAGAATTCTGAAGTGGGATCATGATGAGTGGAACAGCGTGGCAGAACTACAACGCGGCGAGGATGCGGAAGTCAGACAAAACTCCAAAGATGTATTTGTTGAGGGCAGAATCGGCTCTGTAGCAGAAAGCTTTCTGAGGCTTACGTTTCCTGTGGCGACCAATAACACAATCGGCCAATACCGCTGTGATTTCATCAGCTTCACTTTTCAAGAGAACGTGATGTGGCAAAAAAGCCAGCCCGTTTTCGTCACGCGTAAAAGGATTCTCACTGTTCAGATGCTCCGCGAAATTGTGGAGGAAAACCAAAAGGAAGGTTTTCAGCAATTGCATTCCCAGAGACAAGATCTAATCGAAAACATAACGGCGACAGCGGAGGTTCTTGAAGCGGGTCTTGAGAGTCAGTTGAAGAACCAGCTACAGGTGAGAACCTTTCTCGAGGTATTTGTTCTCCAATACTGATAGGTAAATAGGTCTATTTACTCCGGTATAGCTTGACCTGAAATTATGGTAGCAAAACACATTAATCTCACCAGTGGAAAAAGGCTTTAGAGATTTGAGTTCTTTTGTATTTGTCTATGATGGTATACTTTAGATAGGCAAGAAGAAAATATAAACACAAAAAGACAATCACCCTTGCTTCATGTCACACTTGCTGTTGGGATGAGAATTAAATAACTACATGTAGTAAGTAAAATGGGATAATTTAAATGAATTTGTTTTTAGACTAGATTTACATGCAGTCAACTTTTTGATGTTAGATTTACTGAGAAATTAACTGGGGGTGTAAACCATCAGAAAAATGAGTGACAATTATAGTGGTAAATTGGTAGAGTGATAGACTGGAGGACTGACAGAGAGATAAACTTGAGGATTGACTAGAAAATACTTCACCGAAGCCTACACTACAGCACGGGCCCGCTGATAGCTCTTTAGGTAAACACACTAAAGTACATTGTTCGTGATGGTGGTTTGGAATCCCTGACCACAGATTTTTCTCTTGGGTTGTTTGGTAACTTTTAATGGCTCTTCTTTCATTTGACAGATCCTACCCGTAAATAGTCGTTACATTCAAAGATCGAGTCGTCAAAAATTCTCACAGGCTTGAAAGGGGTGTTAAAATTGTGAGATAGATATCCTGACAGAATATTCGCCAAGATTAGAATACTGAAATCAAACTTTATCAGATGTAAAAACGTTTGAAGAAATTTTTCGAGAACTATATTGTAGCTGGGTAATAATCTTAAATGTGTATTTCCAATGTCCAGTTTTGTCCCCGCTACTAAAATAGGAACGCGTTCTCCAGTCTATTAAGCGATTGGCAACTATAATTTATCAATACCTTTGAGGATGTCATTAACTTTTTTAAAGGGAGAAAGCCACGTTGCAGAAAAGTCTACTAGTGTTTATATAACCTTTACGATTCCCTTCACTTTGCAGGTCCTGAGACACACAGTGGAGGGGAACAAGAACAAGAGTGATAACCAGAGACAAAACATTCTCGAGAAAATCAAGACGTCAGTCAAGGATCTTGAGGCGGGTTTTGAGAGAAAACTGAAGAGCCAGATACAGGTGAGGGTCTCTTTCCGAGTATTTAATTTGTTTTTAAATATAGACAAGTGAACATTCGCCTAGATATAGCTTATTCAGTATTGTACAAATATCAATAAACATACAGCTTTCTAATGTGCATTATTTTTTGAATACAGGAAATTTACCCAATACTCTTCCCAATACTCTTGGTGGGGAAAACGAGAG